CCAGGGGTGGGTCAAACTGCTCAACAAAGAAGGGATCGAAAAACTTACCAGACATAGAAAAAGAAAAATTCCACTACTTGTGAAATTTTGGTAAGTTCCGTGGTGAATAATCTCATACATGAGTGTGAGCAGTTCCCGACTACTCATGACATCTGGACATATTTGAGAGAGAAATACGATGGTATTAGTGTGACTAGATTGAGGCAGCTAACTATTAAATTTGACGCTTGCAAGAAACTTTCTAATCACAATATCACACAACATGTGAGGATCATGTCTACTGTGATTAAGGAATTGAAGTCAGCCGGTCATATACTCTCTGATGAGCAATAAGTGTAGGCTTTAATCCACTCTCTTCCTGATAATTGGGAACATCTGAAAGACAATTTGACTTATAATGATAGTATCAAAACATTTGCTGATGCTGCCCGCCATGTAGAACTAGAAGATGAGCGCCTTGGTGCAACTAAATCTCTAGGACAAGCTTTTGTGGCTGAATCCAGTTCTGGGAAAGCTTCAGGCTTTAAGCGTAAGAAGAACTAGTTCAGGCGGGAAAGGAAAGGGAAAATAAACTGGACAGGGACCAAAAAAGAACAAACACAAGTGCAATAAGAATAATAAATGGTTTGGAAAAAAGAAAGATAAGAGCAAGCTGAAATGCTTCAACTGTCAGGTGTTGGTTCACTTTGCTCGAAAATGCCCTGAATCAAAGAAGGTAGCTCTTATAAATACTTCTTTTAATGTTGTTTATGTTTCTAGCACTGTTATGCTAACCGAATCTTATCCTATGTGCATTGTAGACTCAGGAGCGACACACCATGTAACCAGGGATCGAGAAGTGTTTGTGGAGTTCCGTTAATTTCCAGTTGGTATAAAGTGGATATATGTTGAAAATGATGATAGAGTGGAGGTGAAAGGGATCAGTACATGCAAGTTACATTTGCATTGTGGCCATATTATTCTCCTTCATGATATCCTGCTTGCACCGGGGATACAAAAGAACTTAATTTTCGTTGTTGTTCTTTTAAGATTATGTTTCAGCTTGAACTTTTGTGGTAATTCTATTCGTATAAATAATTGTGATGTATTTTATGGATCTGGACATGTAGAAAGTAGCTTCATAGTGTTGGATTGTGATCCAAACACTTATAATTATTATGTTGATCGTTGTTTTTCTATGAATGTATCTTCTTCTTCTTCTAAA